TGCCTAACTAACTTTTTGTGATTTTTAGTAGAGACAGGGTTTCGCCATGTCGCCCAGGCTGGTCTTAAACTCCTGGGCTCAAGGGATCCACCTGCGTCGGCCTCCCAAAGTGCTGGGACTACAGGTGTGAGCCACCGTGCCTGGCTGATTCTACCCTTCTCACTGTGAGTTTCTTGCATCAAGAGGGCTTTGTGTTTCCCAGAGGCCCAGCACACAGGGTGCCTGGGGGTTGGCTCCACAGACAGGGATGGCTGCCATCTGTGCCACCAGACACCCACGCAGTACAATCAACCCTCTTCTTGGCCACCATCTGCCAACGCGGGGCCCAGCTGGACAACTTCTGGTTTGGTCTAAACTAGGAGAATGTCAGGAACTATTTCCCACCCTTGGCACTAACATGAAGAATGACCGCTGCAAACTGGTTTGATTCAAAGTCAACAAGAGACTTACCCATGGCTGTTCCCGCTGAAATCTGCTGCCAGATGGTGTTGTGCTATTCAGGTAATTAGACAGACACCCAGAAAAATTACAATGTGAATATCTTCTGAACTAAAAGTAATCAAATATTAAAGTGTAATTTCAAAAAAACCTAACAAGCTCACATTGAGACTTGCTTCTCAAATGACAATCTAAATACAAATTCACTGAGAAAAGGGAAAAACACAGCAGGTACCCACACACACACAAAAGCACAGTGTACCCCTTCATTATTTGGATGCCAAAGTCCGTTTTAAGGAGGCTGTCAAGAGCTTCCAGTTACTAGTGGCATTCAACACACAGTCACAACAAAGTCCCTACACATCTGATCCAGCAGGGCGCTAAACTGCGTAAACCCACTCATATGCACAAGAAACCACACGGGGGGAAAAGAAAAACAGAGCTCTCACTTTCGAAGGCTGCTGAATTTTAATCTCCTGGGAATCAGACGCCGAATCTGACTTGGTGCCTCCAGAATTTGGTTTCTCCTTTTTTCTCTTCTGTTTCTTCTTTTTCTTTTTGGCTCCCAAATACCCTCCAGGACTTCTGCAGGAAATGCAAAGACGGTGAAACCAACCAACAACAAAAAAATCATTAAATGAAATTGAATTGCATACAATTAATCATTTCGAAAACCACAGATGTTACAGGCAGTAGAAAATAACTGTGTTAGGATGTAGGTGAGGAATAAAAGGTAGTAGCGTGAAGATGACAACAGGCAACACAGAAGAATACCAGTCCCTGCTCAGTCATCCTGCAGGTGCTTAGATGTCGCGATGCAGGAAGACTGCAGAGATAAACCACATTTTATAACTAAAGTAAAATAGTTTCCACGGTTATCACTACTCTCCTAATCGACGTTTAAGTCAGCTTTCTGGAGGAGAGGTACATGATACGAAAAACTCCATTATAAAGATCTCTTGGGTACAACAAAACACTAATCTTGAAGCAACAGAACTAAACAAACTGCTTTTTCGCGGAGGAGGAAATGTTCCCTGATCAAGATTTTTATTACTGAGGCTAACAGTGAAAAGCTCTAAGTGTCTAGCTACAGAGAGAGACCCTGTCACAAACAAACAAACAAAACACAAAGCGCTAGTTTTGTTACCTAGTATCTAGGTTATAAAGGAACTTTTCTTTCCACTGGTTATTCATGTGTTAAGGTAATGAACTTTTCAATTTAAAATGGATAATTCCTCT